TGAGTAATCGTGAGCCACAACCCGAGCAAAACATGGCGAACAGCAAAATTCGCGGGAAAAGCTGACTTGACTCTTAGACTCTGGAGAGTCTGGAGACGAATTTGCCCAGTCCCTTTAGCCGAGTGCGCGCGCATGATGTGTTCTTTTTTATTTGCAGCGTTCGTTTTTTGTTTGCAGCGTTTCTGTTGTTTGCAGCATCTCTTTTTTGCTTGCAGCGTCTCTTTTTTATTTGCAGCGTTTCTTTTTTGTTTGCGGCGTGTCCCTTATGGGCCATCGTATGTAACAGATTTTAAACTTTAGTGAATGTCGTGAACGACAATTAAAGTATCTTCACAGGTGTCTTCTACTACGGTCCAGTTAAGATTTAGATTTATCTTAATGATGATAAAGTTGCCTTTAAAAATCTCAATTTACAGAATAACCAAAGGATGACTATGCGGTCTACCGATTGGTTCTGCTTGAACGCAGCGGTTACCCCATTTTTAAATCTTGACTGCGAGAAATCTTGATAGTAATTCAGTTTATGTCACACATCGAATTAACATACAGACTTATCGAGTAACTCCATACATGTTTCATTCCTTTTCGCCCTAGTAGCATCGCACGGGTTGTGTCAGGAAAGTTCCCGGTGTCCATCATGTCTCTCTAGTTTTCCCAACTAAGCCCTAGTTGGCACCGCGATGTATTTTTCATTCATCTCAGCTCACATTTTGCTAGATAATGTCCAAAAATAAAAGATAAACCGGGGAAATCCTTCTCTAAAACTCGACCATCTATAGATTAAAGCTTCTGAAAAACCTGATACTAGAGAGTGAAAGCTCAATGCAGACGCAGAGGATTTTGCGGGGGAAAAAAACAACTCACCACTCGAAAACGGTGAAGAAAACAATTTGGTTCGTAACATCGCAAAAAGGCAAATAAACAAAATGAATGACTGAATGAATGAATGAATGAATGAATAAAAAAATACAGAGCAAATATAGCTAAATATACTGAAACCAGAATTATGAATCAGTTCTACCTCTAGTACAGACTACTGTTTATGTCATTTGACGGAGGCGAGTCTTGTGAGTACCTTGCGTGACTAATCAAGTGAAGGTCACAGATGACATCTCGCTGATTAATTATTGCAACAGAAACTTCATATGGTGGCGTTGTAGACTCTTCGGTGAATCTGCTTGCTGGCGGCGGTAAATACGGCTCTCTAAGCGACTGTGTTAGCAGCATTTGAGACATACTGGGAGTTTACAACGGGTGAACATGATGATGGAAAACTTTCTATCGTTAAGTTTCTTTTATTTCGTCGTGATTAAGATACTTCCGCACACAGGTAAAAATCGTACAGGTTTAAGTGCGAGACAATATCTTAAACACTAACAGAATCGAGACAGTGAAATGGTATCAGAAACGTTTCAATGATAGATGACTGTTTCAAACAATACAGACTGACGTTAAACCAAAGTGCCTCGCTGAACCAGTATTACAATAGAGGGTTTAAGCATGACGTTAACGGCGGACGGCAAATGGAAAAGATTACCTCTGATTTTTTATTCTTTTCTTGTAATCCTTAACTAAATCACACAAAAATAGAAAAATATCAACTACTATTAACCGCAAATACAAATATTTTCACTATACTGTACAGACAGCTGAAGACAGACGCAAAAGTTTCATTTTCATTTTGCCGTCTGCCGTATGACGCAACACCATGCTTAATCTCTCTAATATAAAACTGTGAGTAGGTGTCTTCTCTGCCAAACAGGCCAGGAAAACATCACAACTAAACTGCTAGTGTAGCTGGAGGGAAGAGCTCAGTATAGTGTGTTCTGATCGGGTCAATTCCCTCAAAGGTTTACAGTCCGTTGTACTCTGATCCCAGAGGTTTCATTCTTACGTCGTTCTTCTGACAGGAAAAAGCCTCCGCTGTTAGTCGGTGAGGGTCACTGTGAGATGATAGTGTAGACTGAACTGGGGACTGCGGGCTAATCCTAACTATAACCGAAATCTAACTAAGAACTAACCCAGGCCCCGTAAAGTAAAGGTTGGTTTCCATATGAGAACTTAAGTCTATTGCTGCGATCGCTGGAGAGTGGTTTTCATAATTTTTTTTTATGATGATATGATCCATTACAGCGAGCTTAGAGATCTTAGCCTGGTCTTCAAACCTAATAGCGGAGCTCTGGCGACCCGAAGGGCCGCCAAGGGGAGCCCCATACTCATATAGGAAAGAAACGAAAACCTATGAGCTGATTTTCTCATGGTTATCATGGCTAGCGGTATTGCTCGTGGGCGCATACGCACGACGGCGGCGACGGCGACAGGGGCTCAAGTTTACAGCCATCGAGGTCACGTGTTTTTTTTTGGACCAAGTGCTAATATTCGATTGGATCGCGGGCTCATGTCATGTTAACTTGTTGAAAACAGGGCAGGATTGTTCGGAAGCCGGTCAACGCTAACTCAGGATTAAAAGTTACCCGAATTATAACTTTTTCTTCTACACAAATGTTTTTTGCTGCTGTATTTTTTGTGTATGGCGATTATTAAAACTCAAAACAGAAGGCCAAACAATATACAGAAAACCTCTCCGCAAAGTTACAAAACTCAAATCACAATTCTACCTTTTCCTGGATTAGCTTAATCGGGCTCTGAACAACCCGGCCCAGGAGCTACGCTTTTAGGCTGGCCTAAATCTATATATTACTATTCTCACAACAGACCCAGTCTCAAATGAAAAACTTTTGACTAGGGTGGTCAAAACGATTTTGAGGAGCTTGTATGTTGCGTGACCCAGCATAAATTTCACAACAATCGTTAATTTCCAAATAATCATTAACCTTATTTAGGTGGAACTCTTGAGTCATTTTGATGGTAAGTAATAGCCTGTGTATACAGGCTCTCGCTCTCCAGTCGAGGATGGGGCGGAGAGAAAGAGAGAAAGCTGTAAGAAAGAGGAGAGAAGAGAGATTAGGGAAGCCGCGGTCAGACCCCCTGTTCACTAACTACGGGCTAAGTAATGAGTTCTAGCAAAAAACTACACAGTACTTTATGGGTAAATTACTATAATCAACTTAATTTCTATCAAATGAGACCAAATCCAAATTTATTGCATGTCTCCTTTCCAATAGAATTACCCTAGTGAGTCAAGGCTTATTTCAAATGCGACGTATCACTAGCACCGAACATGAATTATCAAACAACCGGACCTAACATCTAGCCTAAAACGAAGCCCTGACTACTTAGAAAAAATTAAATTTGAAATTATAATGTTTATCTTTCTTGTAACTTTCTGATATTTATTTTTTCAAGAGGAAGCTGTAAGTTTCATAAAAGAACCAGACAACCCAAGTTACGTCAAGAAGGGAAACAATGCCACACTTGTATGGGACTACAGTGTTACTGATAGACAGACAGAGCTCAAGGGTATCATCTGGGCAGTATACTTCAATAATCAGTTTAAAAATTTGATGACAGAGTCAAAGAATGGTGACAGAGTAATTTCCTCTCAAATGCCATCAGCTTACATTGGACGAGTAGGTATTGAAGGAAGAGCTACTCTGATAATTGAAAATATCACCTTTCAAGATAGTACAACATTCCAGTGCACTCTCCGAGTAGAGCCAGCTTCAGGTCTTCAGAGTAAGACAAGCACCATTGAACTTATTGTAACAGGTATGTCTGGTATTATCATTATGGCTGGTATGGTTTAATGCTATTATTTAAGACCCCTTCTGTAGGGAAAAAAGTAGGAATAAGTTTCGCTGTTTATCTCACTAATCTAAATTTTGGGCAGTTCAGTTTCTCCATACAAGGACTAATGCTTCACAATCCTGTGCAGTCCATGACAGGATGAAATCTAAAGTTTTATACTTGCACAATTCCCATGAAAACCACATCAAATACCACGAGATAGGCCTGCAAACGGTGTTATACAGTCTAAAAGGTGGAAATAGAGCCGAAACTTTGGAAAACCCAGCCACTGAAAAATTACTCATCACATCCAGCTAGATTTTTGTATGGAGTGTATGCATTGTCAGGCAATAAAAGCTAAAATCAAAAACCATTCAGTGGATAAAGTCAAGAAATTGTGATATTACAGACGATAAATAAAGAAGACAGTTCTCCAAGTTTAAGGTGTGTGCCTTATCCCAAAGTTGAGATATTCGTCAAAATGTTTCGAAATTATTGAGCCTAGTATGGAGCCGCCATCTTGGATGACCTCCTTAGTCCTCCAATATTGCAGCCGGAAAATAGTGTAAACATCTGGAACTTACTTTGACTATCTAGACGACTGATTATCTGAACCGAACCAAAAACATTTACACCAGCACTTTTCCAAAACTTTAACTCCTAAAATGGCTAAAAGTCATAAGATAAGTGTATATTTTTCGACAAACGCGATCTTAGCTTCATGTCACGCACTGCCATAACTCAAAATTCAAAATGCGCTGGTTTCCAAACGAAGGATGCTATTAAAAAACCCTGTAGACCATGCTGAATTACGTGCGCCAATTTTTCAAAATCAGGGTAGTTTTCTACGCACTTTATCTCTGAAACGAAGTCGGTGGCACCCAATTTTTTTGCATTTCTGACACAAGTAGCTCTTTATCTGACTGCAGTAAAAATTTTTAAAAACTCATCGACTGGAAAATTTTTCCGCGAACGTCCTTTAACCGTGCCTTGCGTGATGAACGTATGCGCAGAACGTATGCGCACTAACAAAAGTACACACCATGCTTAACACGTCTGAGTTTCAAATAGCAAATTCTGTTCGCTTTTTTAATCACATGAACTCTTCAACCAGAGAGGAAACAAGAAACGTCCTCTTTAAGTGCAACACTCCCAGTTATGTTGTGCTAGAGATTACAAACGATATATGCGCCCGCAATATAGCGTAATCGCTATTTAAAGTTACATTTGATCAACTGACAGCTCATTGGCATAATCTGATCATCCATTACACGATCATCACTAACAACCCGTATTTTTCTATCGCAATTAAAGAGTTAAAAGTGATTACGAAATTAGAACGCTTGCCGAGGGGAGACAACAACAACGACATAAGGGTAAAGGAAACTCAAAGTAGAAAATAAACCTCAATTCAGCCGAGTCCTTCCTTGAGTTTTGTTGGTATGTTTGTTGACATGCTTGTTAGATGTTTTCTAGGTCTTCCGCTCAGAAGATCCAAATACGTTCTCCATCTGGCTACGCTTTCACATTGATCTTTCCTTCTGGTGTCCAGATGAGATTTGCGATTGAGATTTTTTTTTTTTCCTCTGGTTGGTTTCTTTCATACCGCTTCTTTCATACAGCGTTAGCTTTTCATTGATATAAATATGGCCTTGGTTGGATTCAACGGTTGTCAAAAAAAAAAGGAAAATCTCGGAGATTTCAAGATGTCGAACTTTGGTACGCTCCTTGTATTGTTTCGCTTTCAATCTGTGACTGTTTACTTTGAGCACACTCGCGATGTTTAATAACAACGCTTTTTGTGTCAGAGTAGGCCTGTTCAGGTATTTCGTGGATAATCCATTTCGAAAGAATATTTTGGAGTTTATCGTTTGAGGTCATCGAAGACGCCCCGAACCTCTTTCAATTCTCTCTAGTTCTTTCTTTGTCTGTTTTTTCTAGCTCTCTTTGTAGTGAGGGAATCTTTGATTGCTTTCAGTCGCCTCTCGTCAAACAACAGAGAGTCCTTCAATTCCACAAGCTCGCAGACATTTAAGACTCTGCTTCTCTTGAGAGATTGCAGACTGCAGACTGCAGCTTAGATGCTAATCGAGAGCTCTTTAATCTCAAGCAGGGTAGGTTCTTTCTCGGAGAAAAAAACTGTCCGGAAAAACTGTCCGGATTCTGCCGTGTTGGACTTTTTGGCCATTTTTGCTGATTCTTCAACGAAGCCACGGTGGCTTCTTTTGAGCCTTTTCGATGATCATATTCAAGTGAGGGAAAGCTTAATACATTTTCGTTGGGAAAAACCTCTCTCATCAAGTATTCTAGAGGAAACGAAGGCCTGCACCGTTTGCTCGGGTAAAAAACATGTGGCTGTTTCGAGCAAGGCTGCACTTGTTCTCTGCAGGGTTATTAATACATTGAGATACTAGCCACGCCTAGTTGGTAGGGTTTAGCATTGCCACCGAGGGTAAATAAAGGTTACATTTTTTCATTATTATTTATTGGTGATTAGACAAGAGACGGTACTTTCCTTGTGATAATGTTTCAGACAAGGATGACTTCATCAATATTCTCCGCGATGTCACGTCTCTTTATGTATTCTGTCACCTTTGTGTTCTGCGCTATTTGTTAACAATGCCAGTGAATGATAAATGATATACAGTTTGATCTATGGATTACAAACTCAGTGCAGTAGCCTCAAAATTGCCACTGTTTACAGGCGGTGTATTGTCCAAATTCAGTGGCTGATGCAACTTTATTCAAAACCATTTTAATTTTTTTTGCAGATGCACCACGGATTATCATATCCCAAGTACAATCAAGTTACAATGAGGGATCAGTGGTTAACATCATCTGCACAGCATCAGGGACACCAGACCCAGATGTACAATGGCTCAGAAATGGAAAAGGAATAACTTCAGGGACGAAAAAAGTATCTTTGCTGTTCAGTAGTATAAACAGAACTGACGATGGACAGTATACTTGTAAAGCCACCAACTCAGCAGGAAATGATGAAAATCAAGTGACACTGGTGGTTTACTGTAAGTAACGATACCTTTTTGTGTGGCTTATGTGGAGTGTAAGCAACACTTTGTCATGAGCCGAGATATTTATTTATTTATTTATTTATTTATCTATTTATTTATTTGTTTGTGTGTGAGAGCTAAGCGCAATTTTGTTCGTGGCATGGAGAGTTTCACTTTTTTCCCCTACTTTTAGTCTTAAAGGTAGGTCTTTTTTAACTTTGAAAATATTGTTTTCCAAGTTGTAGTGGTGAAGAGATTTTACTCCATCACTTCACTCCAGCACTCCTTCACTTCTTGTTAGACATTTGAAACCCCCATATGAAAAGGTCAGGAATGCTTGTCGGAAATTTTGAATTTAACTCCTAAAGGAGACTAATATGGGAGCTGCTCGAGCTTCATTAAACCCCTTAAAGATACCACTTAAAACGGAATAGGTTCGAATACTAGCCACTGTTCAAGAAGGATCCTGCGCGCACTTGTAGACCCGACTCGCGTACTCGAGAGATCAGCAGAAATCAAGCCTAAAAACAGAAATTAAATAAGAGCGTTTCTTT